CAAATAATGGTACTTTGAGCGTCGATCGTGCAGGCCAAATCAACATAAATTATTTTGAAATTTTTATGCTAGAAATATCAAGACATTTTCAAAGACTTTCATGAAGGAATTTTTTGCAAATAATGAACATAAAAAATCATAAAAATCATCAAACCGAGTCAGGTCAGTCAGGAATCATTAAAACAGAACAGAGAAACTATTATTCCAGATTCTGATCAAACATTCTAAAGACGATTTAACATAGTAAACGATGTCCGTTCAAGACACATGATTTATCAAATCGAAGTTCAGGAAGTTTAGTTTGAATCTTTAGTTGAACATTTTTCCAGATTTCCACATTTAGAGGTTCAAATCAGCAATTGAAGACTGCTGACTCATCAGTATACGAAAATTGCAGAACGGGCCCGTTTGGTTCGGCTTTGGGGGAATGCATTTGGGGAAATGCAAATACCTTTGGGCTAAAGGGGTTTTCCGAAATGCAAGTAGCATTTGGTAAGTGTTTTATAAAATCAACTTGGGCTAAAGGACTTTTGCTATTTTTTTTTTTAAAAAAAAAAAAACTCCGGTGGAGCTACACGGCCGGCCACCGCCTCCGGCCAGATCTGGTCGCCGGCCAACCGCCGACGGCCAGATCTGGTCGCCGGCGACCACCGCCTGGGGTCGCGCGACCCCCGGGCGACCGCCGCCTGGGGTTTGCGCGACCCCAGGCGGCGGTCGCCGGGGTCGCGCGACCCCCGGGCGGTGGTCGCCGGAGTCGGGCTAGCCCTCAGGTGGCGGCCGCCGGACGTCGGTTTGAAGAAGATGAACAGTGTTGATGAATAGTGCAAGTTGCATTCCGAAAATGCAACTTCCCAAAGCACCTTCAGAGGTACATTGGCCAAAGGTCCCTTAGCCAGCATTCCAAATGCAATTGCATTTCCCTAAAGTGAGTAAAAAAAATTGCCAAACACCATTTGCATTTGGCCAAGGGACTTTAGAGGCCAAATGAGCATTGGGAATGCTGAACCAAACGGGGCCGACATACAATCAATGATCCAAACACTCATGGAATGATTCCTATGCATATAACAATCAACCTACATCATTCTAGGCATTCAAACAGCAAGCATGATTTTGTGATAGATCTAGATATATCTCATGTAAGTTTATAAGCTTCTAATTTCACTATCTAGTCCTAAACTCAGTTTTAGATGACATACCTTCTTCGATAAGCTAGCTGAGCTTGTGCAAGCTATCCGGCCACCACTAAATTTTGATTTGATGCTGAGTATAGCTCTCCGGAATCTATATCACAACACAAAATTTTCGACATGAGGATGCGATTTGACGAGGTCTATTGAACAAAAATCAATCGAGGATTGAAATCAAGTACGATAGAGAGGTTCCAGTGGCTGTTTTAGCTCGAGCCAGCCACTACAGCCACGGGACGGAGCTGAGGATGACACTCGAGAGGCTTGACATGCCTTGGAAGGCCACCGACCACCGAAACAGCCACAGGAACCAACGGACAGCAAGATCGGCGAGAATGATGATGTGATTGTCGAAAGGAAGAAGCTGCCGAATCGGGGAGCTCCGGCAATGAACAACGCCGGTTGATCTTGTGACCGACTTGGGGGAGGCTCGAAGGAGGTCAACATGGTGGTAGCTCACCGGAAGGAGGCTGGCGAGCGACCGGTTTGGGCGATGGGAGCCCCGGCCGAGAGAGAGAGAGAGAGAGAGAGAGAGAGAGAGAGAGAGAGAGAGAGAGAGAGAGAGAGAGAGAGCTTAATCCTAGAGAGGTAATTCAAATTTGAAAAATGGCCAACCCCCTTTGATATTTGGAGGGAAAAGTTTATATACCTTCCTCTATTTTGAATTCTAGCTATTGGATTGATCAAATGGTTGAGATTGAACCCTTAATGTCTAAGCAAATTCCTTCATGGCTAAGCAAACCTCTAATTGGCTGAAACTCAATCACATGGATTGATGACATGACATGGTAGATGGCCAAGATTGAATGTCAAGTGAATGGTTGAGATTAATTGCTTAATCATTAAGTAATTCTCTTATAAGGGCAATTTTGTAATTTCACATAAGGGTAAAATGGTAATTTTATGTACAAAGGAGAGTGGTTGCCCGACCAAGGCTTGTGTGGCCGAAGGTGAACCGCCGGTTGTCGGAATTTTGGCTGAAAATTGGTCGACTCGATGGACCGGTTAAATTCCTGTCATACCGGGTTTAACCGGTTGGACCGGTTTGATCTAGTTCAGTTCTTAACCCAAATTTGTTCTAATTTTATGCAATTTCATCCCTATTATGATTGATTTACCCAATTCAATTGAATTTGATTAAACTAGATTAAACTAATTCGAAATATAGGCGTAAATTTACCAAGTTTAACTTATTTTGCTTAATTGCTCTCCAATTTGAATTAAATTGCACTGCCAGACTAGACTAATAAATTTAATTGCAATCCAATTGGCCAAATTGAACTCCAATTCATCAAATTGGATATCAATCTAGAATCGGCCAAGTTGAATTGCACTAATTGAACCAATTACTCTTGGATTTCTCAATCATTGGATCATTAAATTGGTCGAATTGAGTTCAATTGGAGTGACTTTGTCAAAATTGATTTTGGAATTGGATTTCATTCGATCAATTACATCCAATTTTGGCTAATTTGCATTAATTATGAAGAATTGTTTGGAATCCCTAATTATAGCTCAAATTTGGGATTTTTACCTTTGGCTTGGAATCTTGAAATTGGTTTGAAAATTGAATGTGAAATGACCTATAGATCAAATTTCGTAAAGGAAACTATCCTAAAAAATGACTAGAAATGAAGTAATTTCATTTTTGGCCAATTTGAATGAAATTCCGTGAATTGAGGAAAAGTTGGTTCCAAACCGATTTTTGTAAAATTGATGATGTCAAAGTGAAATTAAGCTAAAAAGGAATTGATTTAAGCATTTTGAATTTTTTCATTATTTTTTTTAACAAAATATTGACCAAAAGTTAACATTTTAGTGATTAGTCACTAAGGGTCTGTTTGGTAACTGGCCAAATAATGCCTGATTTTATTCTTTTGTTCCCGGGAACAAAAAAACAATAGAAATTCGTTTGGTAAATTTTTTGTTCTCGGACACAAATTTGTTCACAAAATCAATTTTGGAACAGAATCAAGAATAAAAAAAAATTTGATTTTTAATTATGGGAACAAGAACCAGAAATAGAAGAGAATTTTTTTCTTTCTTTTTCTTCTTTCCTTCTTGCCCTGTGGCCGGTTATCTTCTTTCTTGGCCTGTGGCTAGTCGCCGGCCATGGACCAAGGAAGGAGAAGAAGAAAAAAAGAAAAGAAAAAAAAGTAAAAAAAAAGAAAGAAATATTAAAAAATTCAAAATATTATTAATAAAAAGAAATCTTGTTCAGTTACCAAACATATTTCTGTTCTTTTTCTATTGCAGGAATAGAAATTTTGGGTCGTTAACAAACATTTTCAAATGCTCAGAAATTGTTTCCTGGAACAGAATAAAAAAAATCATTTCTGAGCAGAAATTGTTTCTAGGAATAGAATGGTTATCAAATACACCATAAAATGCATATTAATAGGTCAAACTTTGAATTTTTTGAATTGATAATGCAAAAGTGAAATTGACACTTTTTTGAGGTTTTTCATTAAAAAAACCAAATTTTGACTTAAGGTTGACTTTTCGGTCAAATTTTGACCAAAAGTCAACTCAAAAATCAACATTATGACTTTTTGAGATGAAAGTGCAAAAAGCTAGAAAATGAGAGGCTAATGCTAATTCAAATGCTAAATGACTCTTTTTGGTTGAGAATCGGGTTCTGTCGCGATCAGAAACCCTAATCTCAAGATTTTTACATGCACGATGCGTCGGCTAAAAATCAAGTGTCAACAATAATCTTCAGTTTTAGTATAGAATCTGAAAATGTCAAATGCTCTGTTGGTATCTGCATATAAGCTTTGCTGATATCCACATTGTTGCTATGATGATATTTATCCAATAATCTTGATGATATCCACGAAGTAATTTTCTTAAGCTTCAACCATGATACATAAGTAACAATAGATAGAGTCTGGATATATAATTAGGCTTGATGAAAACTTCTCCTCAAGAGTATTTCCTGAAAGAGTCACTTCAATGCTTTTATCATGTCACAATAAACAATGAAAGGTTTTGTCAGCTTCAAAAACTCATAAGGAGGTTTTCTCAACAATCTCCCAATTTTCCATATAGATAAGATAATAATTGATTTGAAAATATTTTGTAAGTGATTTCTTGCAGTTTGTACGCTTCAATTTCTAGACACAATAGTATAAACAACTACGCACATGATAGATTCAATGAGAGCTATGAAGAGTAACATGCGAATAAGTTTGAATAGCATCTTATTAAATCAAAGTAGATAAATGCTAAGGAATTTCATGCTCTATGTTGACACCTAAATTTTGGCTAACCATTTAGTGGTTAATTTGCATAGAAAATTAGGGATTAAATTTTAACCCCTAAACAAAAATATTAAAGTTGTATAGCATATAGTTTAGGATCATGTAGGTTAATTGCATTCCACATTGAGCCGGCAATGGCGAGCGAGCTTAAAATTCATCACGTAAACCGAGTTCGGGCACCGAATGAAACTCGGCTCACTCAGGGAATAGGGGCCGAAAATTACAAGACAAAAGGGGCTTGGTCGTCTTAATTTGAGCTTAAATCAGCCCATCAAGTTTAATCAAATAAAAGCCCAAATTAATTCAGTCCACTTAGAATTAAATAAAAATTAAAGGATAAAGCCTAAGTCTAAGCTCATTAGGACTAGGAATCCCAGCCAATTAACCCAGTGTTGTGATATAAATATGTGATTATACGTCTCGATCAAGGGGGGCTCTCATAATTTTCAAGATCAGAGTTTTCAAAGACAGCACAAGTGAGAGTGAGAGCAAGAAAGAAAGAGAGAGAGAGAGAGAGAGAGCAAAGGAGGACTAGTCGTGCCTCCCCATGGCCGACCGTGGTACTCGTGCCCATGCTCGTGCCTACGCCTGCACCTGTGCCCGTGTTGGTGCCTACGTCAGCACCCGTACTCGTGCCCGTGCTCGCGCTCATGCCCGCGCCCGCGCCTGCGCGCGTGCCCGCTCTCGCGCCCGCGCCTGCGCCCGTGCCCGCTCTCGCCCCCATGCTTGTGCCCGCGCCCCCTCCCGCACCTGCTCCCCCGCCCGCACTCGCCGCTGCGCCTACGCCCGTGCCCGCGCCCACACCCGCCGCTACGCTCATGCTCGTGCCCGCACCCGCACCCGCGCTCGTCATTGTCCCCCTGTCCGTCCCTGTGCCCGTGCTCGCACCCACACCTATGCCTAGTTGCTGCCCTGATGTCGTCCATTCACTGCACTGAGCCCGCTGCTAGTCACCCCAAGTCCCGACGCCAAGCCACTATTATCCCACTGCCTCGTGGTGTCCTTACACTGCCGTGGCCTTATTCTTGTTTTGTAGATTGACCGAGAGCACCACAGCACGCACCACCGCGCCCGCCGCCGGCCACCCCGTCACCGTCCCACAGTGAGCCTCCATCGCCGCCGCCTCTCATCGTCACCTCTGCGTCCGCCGTCGATCACCCACCGTCGGTCACCGTCCCGATCCGCAATCCCGATGATTCAAATTTGGAAAGTAATTCGCAAATCAGGTAAAGATCTCTATTCGGTATATTTTCAAAATATTTAGATTCCTAGTTTGAATATTTTGAATATTCCGTAAATATTGTGTGGATTGCTAGATATATTAGGATAATGTGTGCTACATCCGCAATATTTGAAAACACTCAAAATTAGGAATTATCCTTAATTTGGCAACGTATCTGGATGACTATTTGACCTTATCCCTAAGGTACGATATGTGGCGATACGGAAATCGTTATCTCATCCATAACTACTTGGATGCGATAATCGATTTTATCTGCTTTCCAAATTCAAATAATCGTCTCTCCGTCGATATCTCTAACCTTATAGATATGACCGTTAGTTCGATTCTCTTTCCTAATTTGAATTTGATAAGAAGAATCTTGTGAATTGCGTGGATTGTTTGAGTACAGTTGTTATCTTTGTTTAATTTTTTTTTAAATTAAGAAAATCCAAAAATATGTTAAATAGGATTTCAATTAGAAGTTTTGCATGTTTAGGGAATCCTAAATGTATCTAGAAGATATGATAATTATTTAGTTTAAATTGAGACTTGAGATAATTTATTTCCTAGCTTAAATTAGTTGTTATTCTAATCCTAATAGATTATTTAGGTTATTTTTAGATTCCGAATTTCCATGAAAATCCCAAAAAGAATGAGTTACTTTAGGATAGATTAGGATAGATTCCATTCTTAATTGGAGTAATTTTTTTTATTTCGAATTTAAACAAAAATACCAATAATATTGCTCTAGAATAGATTAATTTGTTTCCTCAATTAAACATTGCATGCTTAGGTAATAAGTATTTTTAATTCCGAATTTCATTTAAAAAATACCAAAAATAAATCATTTGTCCGTCATTAGGATTAGGTCACGTTGTCGCATAACATATAATTCGCATGCTAGGTTTCATTAATCGCATCTCAATTTTTGCATGTCATTACATATAGATTAGTTTACATTTTAATAAAGTGCAAACCCTAAAGAACACCTTGACTGCCTTGCTTTGTTAATTAGAAATCATATTAGGATTGCCCGTATGATTTTCTAGCTAACAATGCAGATGCTTGCGTTGCTTTAAGGTATGTTATTCTCCTTATCTAGCAATTTATTTATTGCTTTCCTTATTGGGTGTTAAATTGGTGGTTTGTGTGCCCGCATGAACACCTCACATGTTAGAATCTAGATAATAAAATGGATTTAGACTGCTTGCTTAAACATTTTTTTGAAAAGAAAAGGTACCGAAATGACGTTAGACTAGATCTAGTGTAATCAAGTCCCCGAGCTTAAGATCTCTGGTTTGTAGAAATAAAATATATCTCCCTATGTTTCATTTAGGTTTCTAATCGACTTACAACAAATAGATTAGTAGTGACTCCAAGCATGAAAACATTTGCACGTTAAGAACTTTAACCCTAGGTCGCAAATTGATAGGGCTTGAGAGGGCCCGAGTTAGGCTTAGACTTAATAATCCATTAGCCGAGGTTAGGTCGCGACACTCTAATATGTCTAGCAAGATCTAAGAGATTAGTAATTTTTAGGGATAAGTGCATTGATAGTCCTAAAACTTGTCACAAAAGTGCAATTGAGTCCTAAAATTTTCGAAAAGTGTAATTAAGTCCTAAAACTTGTCATAAAAGTGCAATTGAGTCCAAAAACTTTCAAAAAGTGCAATCGAGTCTCAAAAAGTATGAATGATTATGAAATAAATACGCAAAATATAATAAGCTAGACTTCGGAGTGTTGTTTCCTGAATTAAACCCACATCTCTAATTTCACCACACCACACGCAAAAGATCTTGATATATCACAATCTTCGATTTTATTTCCTATTTCTCAATACTAATCCTCTCGTCTTCTCCATTCCTTGTTTTCCTCACTCTCTCTGGATCTCAATTTCATTACATCTTTCCTTGCAACCTTTCTCTCTTTCTTTTTTTTTTCCTTCTTCTTATGGGGTTTCGTCGATCTTCATCAAATTGAAGAAGCGAGCCGCAAAAATGATGGTGACCGATACGACGAGGATGGTCTCGCAAGGAGATGATGATCGGGAGAAGGTCATCCCGCGGTGGTTGAGGCCGATCGCAGGCACTAAGCTCTACAGCTCGTGCGAGACTCGTCGCTCCAAAGAGCGCAACTACTACTATAGAGTCTGCAAAGTTAAAGATGAGACTTTTCACTTATCGATGAGGTTCTTCAATTGTCGATGAGGTCTATCGAGCTTATCGATGAGAGTATCGTTGAGCTTGAATGTGTGCTGGCCTTCTTGGTTGAATGAGTTGGTCTTTCATATGGGCTGCATCATTCCCCCTTTCTTTAAAAGAATTCGTCTCCGAATTCAAATCACCATAATTAGAAGAATCACCCACATAAGGTGTTAAATACCAAATATTGAACACGTCATGTATCGTCATATGAGACAATAGCTTTAGTTAATATACATTAGTATTGATGTGCTCAAGAACTTCAAGTGGACCAAGCTTTCAATCACTAGGCTTGTTGTCGCTTCCAATGGGATGACGCTCCGGTGGCAAATAAGCTCAAACAAAGTCTCCCAGTTCAAAGATAATTTCACGTCGACGCTTATCGACATTATTTTTATAGGACTTAACTTTGTTCTCCAACCTTTGGCGCACATCTTCATGAACTAGCCTCATTTGAGAAAAAATATCATCCACCTTCTCAATTGCTTTTTTAGTGAAAGGAATAGGTGCAAGATCTAGAGCAATCTTCGGTTGACATCCACACACAATCACAAATGGACCGTATCTATCTAGTGGTACGGTTCACTGAACAATTATATGTGAATTCTCCAAGTGACAATCATGTCTCCAAAGAGCGGGGATTATCGTCAATCAAAGTCCTCAACAGATTTCCCAAGAACCGATGGACAACTTCAGTCTGCCCATCCGTTTGGAGGCTGAAACACAGTACTATATTGTAGCTTAATACCAATATTCTTCCATAGTTGCCGCCAAAAGTGACTAAGAAACTTGGTGTCCCGATCAAAAGTAATAGTCTTGGGAAGGCTGTCGCGACCTTATCTTGGGGTGGCACAACCTAGGTGTTTGGCTAATGGATTATTGAGTCTAAGCCTAACTTGGGCCCTCCTAAGCCTTACCAATTTGCGACTTATGGTTCAAGTTGTTAACATATAAATGATTTTCATTTTGGAGTCGCCACTAATCTATTTACGGTGGGTCGATTAGAAACCCAGATAGAGTATAGTAATAAAGTATATGGAGATATACTTTATTCCTACGAATCAGAAATTATGAATACGGGGACTTGATTACGCTAGATTTATTCTAACGCCCTTTCGGTACCTTTTCTTTTCATAAAAATGTTTAAGCAGGTAGTCTGGATTGATTTTATTTCTTCCTAACATGTGAGGTGTTCATGCGGATGCATAAACTATCAAATTAATACTCAATAATCAAAACATTAAATAAATTGCAAGATAGGAAAAATTACTTATCTCGAAGCAACGTATGTGACATTCCGAGATTTCGCTCATTTGGGATTTATGAAATGAATTATTTTATTAATGTGCTCATAGCTAGTTCTCACCCGGAACTGATCATTCCTGGGATACTAACCAGTAGGGAAAGGCTAATTAGGGATTTAAAATTCGTACGACTAAAGATAATTCAATCGTGAATGGACTTTCGACCATAAAATCGTCGATGTGATATTTTGAGCCACTGTTGGCCGATCCAAGGATAGTTAGGGGTCAGCTCGCCGCTGTCATAGTAGTGGATCGCGAGTGATTCCGCTGGACCGCGAAATGACTTGACGAATGATCCTGAACTTATACCAAACGATCGTGCCCCTCGGATCTAGCAATTGATCCTCGCGATTTTAATGACAACCGAAGTCATTACGGTCTGAATAAATTGTACGTGACTCGATTTAGTATCAGTCACGGGTCGTACTGGCGAATTTCCCAAACAAGCCGCCCGTTAGTCTGAGAAACGCTCGAGTTGCGTTTAATAAAATTTAATTATTTAATTTAGCCCGAATCGGACACCGGAAAATTTGGAAGTCACAACGGGACGCTAGGACGACGTTGCGGTTGTAACGTGCAATTTTTGTTGTTCCCGAATCCTTCAGAAAAACTTGATTTTGAGGAGAAACGGAGAATCGGACCATTTTACCCTTGAGAATTAACAAAGGGCATGTTTTATGAGCAAAGGGCATTTTGGTCATTTTGCCCTAACTTTTTGATTGGACAATTTTGCCCTTGGACTTTTTGAGAAATTACAAGTATACCCTTGGATATTTTTGGTAAGATTCGATCTGGACCGTCGATTTCAAGATTAGATCGAATATGGACCGTCGGATCAAAATTGTGAGAGAGGGGTATTTTAGTCATATTGCAAAATGGGTCAAGAACACTATTTAGGTCTAAAGGACTCTCTTTCTCTCTTCCCCTCCTCTCTCTCCCATTCGGTCCCCCTCTCCCCGTGAAACCCCCCCACCGTGAGCTCCTCCCTCCGGTCATCTCTCCCTCCCGCCGTCGCCGTCGCCGTCGCCGCCGCACCGCTGGACCGCCGCCATGCCGCGCCGTCCTCGTTGCCGCGCCCCCACCAGCCCACGCCGTCCCTCTCCCTCTCGGTTTCTCTCTCCCCTCTCTTGGCCGTGAGCCTTGCCAGTCACGCCCAAGCCGCGCCGTCGCCGCCCA